TGAAATGAGCCTAAAGATGTTGGAGAAGATTTGGAGGAGAAAAGAGACGTTATTTCCTTTAAAAAAAAAAAAAAAACTAGCAATTTGAGGCTATCAGGGGTGAAGGGATCAATCTAGTCCATCAGAAAATCGATCGAGTCATGCTGATTTTTTATTCGAGAAGATTCTAAATGAATGGTACACTCAGTTACCTTTAATTAAATCATGCTTTACACTCTACTTACTAATTTGATTATATTATAAGTTATATAATTATAAATCAAGATTAGTTTGAAGGTTTAGAAACTAAATTTAAAGAGATTTCTATCCATATAAAATTCAACATATGATTCAATGTATATTCAAATCTACCTCATATATAGTTGTTAGATAACATACATAATGTTTAGTAAAAATTCAAAATCTTTTCTTAAAAATTTTAGATTTTTATTTCGTTTAATCCATTAGAAAGAAATTCAAAAAGCTTTTCCACCATATATAATTCAAATATTGAAGTTTTTAAATCAATAAAAAAAAATAAAACAAATTCAAAATGTTGGAAAACCTTGTTCTTACAAAACATTTTTCTCTAGTCAATATAGTTTTCAAAACTAATATTATCAAAATTTTATTAAGTACAAGATGAATAAGTTCATTTAAAAAACAACAATTAAACTTTCATTTAAACTTAAATAAATAATCTTTAAAAATAATTTGATTTGAGAAATACAAAAAATTTAAAAAAAGTTTACATGCACTTAAGAAACATTTTTCAAATAATGGTTAATCTTAGAACCTTGTATTTTTTAGATAAATATTAAGATCAAACTTTAAAAACATTTTTTCAAGATATTTTTCAAATTAAAAAATCATTTTGAAGACATAATATTTATTTAGTACCAAACATAATATATCTTAATAATCATATACTAAATAAACTCTTTTCAAAATGTAAAACCTTTTTCTAAAATATTTTTCATTTCAAATATCACTTTAAAAAATATATTATTTATTTAATTCTTAAAATAATAAAACTTAAGAATATATAATAAATAATTCTTTCTCAAAATTTTAATCAAATTTATTTCACTTTTGTTATTTCAAAATAAGAATAAATTTAAGACTAACACCAACTAATATTGAAATTCAAAATTATCAAAGTTAAGTCTCAACCTGTCACAAAAATCTCTAATTTAATTCTATTTTTTGTTTTACAAGATTATATTCACCATGAAAATTACATTTCCCTTGCATCATGAAATTTAGCTCATTTTTAACATTTAAAATTTAATTTTTTTTAATACCGAAGAAAAGAAAGAAAATGGGTGCTTCTATTTGCACTTTAATTTTTTCTATGCACGCCTGTCCTTTTTTTTTTTTTTCAAAATTATCTTTAGGTAAAATTGCTTAATTACTCGTTCTCATTTCAATTTTAAAATTTTCAGATATACATATTAGATAAATTTTATAATTTGTCGGATATGAAAATTCAGTAAATTATAAAATATATCCGATAAAAATCAGGTAAGTTATATTTAGGATTTAGGAAAAATATCAATAGAAGAAAATAAAATCTCATGTCCTTAAAATTTTTCACAACATTGTAAAAAAAAAACACAATTTATAATTATAAGTTCGTTTATAAATTGATAGGAAAAATTATGCATTTAAGTCTTCAATTTTTTTTTAATTTAAACGATTTTAGATAAAAACTTTAAAACCTTATGAAGATGTGAATTTAAAAACTTTTAAAAGTTTCAAAATTTGTGTATTTGAAAACTCTTAAAAAGTTTTTGAATTTGCAAATCCCAAAATTTAAGAGAAATGATTTGAGAAAGAGTAATTAAATAATTTCATTAAAAATGATTTTGAAAAAAAATAAGGTGTGAAGAAAAAAATGAATAGCAAAGAAAAGCTCCCAGAGAAAGTATATGAGAATTTCTAAATACACCCCTAAAATTACTCTCTACACCCATTACTATTTACATATGAATTCACAATTTAAAAATTAATTTTACTCAGTACAACCTTTGACCACATTTCTAATTTTAATCAACACTCCTCACACCCATTTTCCTAATTCCCTATCCACTTATAATTCAATTAAACCCCACCAACTCTAACATAAAAAATTATCCTAAAATCATAGGTTTTGGAGTTAATCAAGTCACCAAACTTCAACTCAGAAATAAATTACCTTTGATTTTGTTAAATTTTGGTTAAATATTGAATAAATTGAAGTATAGATTGAGATATTGTGTCCAAATTATGAATTCTAAAATTGCAAATTTATAAAGCTTCCAGTTTTGCATTTCCAAAAGCTTATAGAAGTTTTCGGAGATGAAAATCGGAAGCTTTTCTCAAACTTTCGAAAATGTAAATTCAAAAACTTTTAATAAATGTAAATAAAGCTTCTAGAAATACAAATTTGAGAGTTTTTAAAAATTTCTGAAAATATAAATTCAAAAATTTTAAAAAAAACTTTCGGAAATACAAATCTTAAACCTTGAAGACAAAAAAAAAGAGAAAAAGTGAACATAGGTTAATAAAGGGTTGAAAGATAATTTACTAAAAGTTTATTAAGTGATTTCAAATAGGGGTTTTTTTTTTTTAAATAAAAAAAGGAAATTCTAGATGCACCCTAGTTTTGCTTTCCACAGCTCACTTTTGTTTCAAAATTTTTTATAAGTGAAATTATTTAATTTTATTTTTTCATAAATTTTTAAATATTTATATCAGGTAAATTTTATAATTTAATAAAAATAAATTTTCGGAAAGTTATATAATTTTTTAGAAATTTATTTTCGAAAGAAAGTTTATAACTTTTTAAATAAAATTACAAAAAGAGGATTTTATTATAAATTTTTATTAATTGATATATAAAAAATTATTATTATTGAAAATATTATAAATTTTAAAATTAATAAAAAAGTTGATCTTACTATTTTGATCTTAGAGAAAGAATAAAATTTTATAAGACCTAATTAAATATTTTGTCTCTTGATGTTACGAGAGATGATGAAAAAACTATCAAATTTGATTAACATCTAAAAATTAAAATTTTTAAAAGTTGTACTAGTAATATTATTGATATTACACAAATTTATCAAAATCTAATATGTTAACTGAAGAAATTTATCGTGATAAGCAGATGAAAAGACTTCTCCAAAAAGTTTAGTTTAGCTAGAATTATTATAACATTGTAATAATCAGTACTAAGAAAAAATATTTATTAAAAAAATAATGAATTTTAAATTTATAAATGATTGTATTTATTATTTTATCCTAACTTCATAAAATTTTATTCTTTCTTTAATGTCAAAATAGTAAAATTAATTTTAAACTTTATGATTTTTTCTAATAATAAAATTTTTAATTAAACCATCTAATAATTTTTTTTTAAATTCTCTCTTTTGGAATTTTTCTTAAAGTTTTAATCTCTTGTCCTTAATAAATCAATTTCCCAAAAGTTATATAACTTTTCAAAAATCTATTTCCAAGTAAGTTATATAATTTTTCAAAATTTTATTTCCTATAAGTTGTAAATTTTACAAGACATGGATATTCGAAAACTTGTAAGAAAAAATAATTAAATAATTTCACTTACAAATTTTTTTTTAAAAAAAGTAAGATGTAAAGAGTAAAAACTAGGGCATATTTAGAAGCACCCATAAAAAAATAAATGTAGAGAGCATTTATTAGGATGTATTTAGAAGCACCCAAACTATATAGGGTGGTTTTAAATACACCATCATTTTTTTCAAAATTTTTTTAAGAGAAATTATTTAATTATCTTTTTTATTTCAATTTTAAAGTTTTCGGATATACATTTTATGTAAGTTATATTACATATCCAAAAAGTTTTAAAAACTTATATTTAGATTTAACAAAATCAATTAAAAAAATATCTTACGAAAAATTTTAAGTTTTCGAATACACAATTTCAAAAACTCTTAAGGGTTTTTGATTTTGCAAATCTGAAAACTTAAAAGTAAAAGGAATGTTAAGAGAAAATAAAAAAGGTAATTATTTGATTTTATTTTCAAATAAGTTTGAAAAAAATGCGAAAAGTAAAAAATAAGGTTCGAATAAAATTACTCAAATATATAAAAGGGACTATATGCACCAAAAAATCTTTTTTATATACCCCATAAATTTTCTTCCAAAAATACCTTAATAACAAATATCAATTTTAACTTTTAGTAAATGATAAAAATACTCTTAATATCTTATACAACACATACCTGTTTTTTCTTCTTCTTTCTCTTTTTTTTTTTTCTTTTTTCATCCCTATTTATAATACACTGAACTTTAAATCTGTAAAACTAAAACAAAATTTTTGAAACTTTTGTTAAATTTTACAAATCGTATAAGAATAGATTTAGAAATGAGAAATAACAACGAAAAAGAAGAGCTAGACAAGATAATGAAAACTCATCCAATCGAATCTGAATTTTTTATATTTTTAGAAATTTATTTTTGAAACTACAATATAAATCTTGAATATATATTTTTGAGAAGTCTCAGATATAAAGCTTTTCGAAAATGAATATCCAAAAATGCTTTAAGTTTCTCAAAATTTTATTTTTAAAAATCTTAAAAATTCTTGGATATTCATTTTCGATATGTTCAATTTTATCAAAATTTTACCATAAATCTTAACCTATATTCACATTAATTTTTAACCACGATTGCATCAAGATCAATTGAAAATAAGGTATAAATTTTATTTTTAATTACTTAAAAACTAAATAAATATAAGTGATTTGGGTTTAATTTGATAAATTTAAGATTTTTTTTATTGAAAAGTGAAAAGGTGTTAGTGTATCTAATAAAAATAAAAAATTAAGTTTAAAATTTATAATGTATTTAAAAATTGAGTGTACAAAATAATAAATGAGATATAAATAGAATTATCCTATATATATAAAGGAATGCCCCACATTTGAGACAATTACCCTTCCATTTCCACACAAATTACAACTCCACCCCAAAAACCCCGTCTATAAAATTCTTCTCTTCTCCCACTTTTCTCCATCCTCCGCTTCCAACACTCAAGAAAATTTCCCAACTTTCACTTACCTTTCGGTCTCCAACACCTTCAAGCCGAATGGCCGCCGCAGCTCCACCACCACCACCTTCCGCCGCCCCAGAACCTTCCATGGCACCACCTGAAACCACCCCATTAGGCCACCCTTTGTTCACCAGGATCCGCCTAGCCACCCATTTAGACATCCCTTTCATACACAAACTGATCCACCAAATGGCCATCTTTGAACGCCTAACTCACCTCTTCACCGCCACAGAATCATCCCTCGCTTTCACCCTTTTCGACTCCCCTCCTTTCCGTTCCTTCACAATGTTCATCCTTGAACTTTCCTCTTCCCCCATTCCTCCCCTCCCTTCCCCTTCCCCTTCCCCTTCCCCTTCCCCTTCTTTTACCCCCATAGAAAAAACTTTTAACTTCGACATCCTCATAAACGACCCCGAAAAAGATGCCTTCTCGGTTCATTATGGAAACGATCAGGTTATAATCGGTGGGTTCGTTTTGTTTTTTCCAAACTACTCCACGTTTTTAGGGAAACCAGGGTTTTATGTCGAGGATTTGTTTGTCAGGGAATGCTATAGGAGGAAAGGGTTTGGGAAGTTGTTGCTCTCGGCGGTGGCGAAACAAGCGGTGAATATGGGGTATGGGAGAGTGGAATGGGTGGTTTTGGATTGGAATGTTAATGCCATCAACTTTTATGAACAAATGGGTGCCAAGGTTTTGCCTGAATGGAGGATTTGTAGGCTGACTGGTGATGCTCTTCAAGCTTATGAACATGCCGATCTTTAGCTTTTCTTATGTGAGGTTTTTAATAAAGAAATGAAGGGGTTTCCTGGTTTTTAGTTGTATTACCAGTTGGCCAAAAACTGAAACTTCAGAAGTTTCAAGTTTTTGGTTTTTTTTTTTAGTTATATTCCTTGTTTAAAGATGCTAACTTTTAGTTTCAGAAGTTCTGATAGCAAATTTCTATGTTGTTGTGGTTTGTTTTACTGTAATTTTTTGCTATCAAAATAGTGTTTAGAGTCATTTTCTGAATTTTTGCAATTCTTGATTGGAGGAACTTATTGGTAGCCATACAATCCAATCCAAGAACTTCTCAGAACTTGTAGTTTTGTTTTCAGTTGCTGAATGCTTTGTTTAAAATAAAAATGAATTTAACCCACCCCAGAATGCAGGTTCACCGTAAAAGAATCATTTGTTCATGATATGAGGACCATCCAAGGTTGCAGAACTACACATGTTATAGCACCAGCATAAAAAATGGAGGAACAAAACTTTCATCCTATTTCAAAATCTGATTCGCTTTGAAAACCATAGCCTTAAAGGGCATATCTCAGTATCTGTCCGCATAGAAATGATCATCTTGAAGTATCCCTGTGGATAAATGTTGAAAAAATTTTCGAACACTTTGACTTTGTTTCGATGCGGAAAGTACTATTTTTTGTCAAGGCTACAAGAGTTTCTTTTCATTTTCTTTTGTTGTTAATCTGTCCACGTCTATGAAAAAATTTCTCTCTTACCAGGAATAGATGTTAATCTGTCTACCCCACGTGAATGAAATAATTTCTCTTTTACCTAAACAAGAATTGTCGTAGTTCACTGCTAGAATAACACAGGAAAGTGAAAAGGAAAAACTAGAAAATCTACAAGCAGACCTTCCACCAATGAGGAAAGAAGAGACTTCACTTGTAAAAGTGGGAGATTGAGCTCCTGCCAATAATTCCTGTTAGGGGATCAGTGATTCTATCCGAAAGGGATTGCCATAGAACAATCCACAAAGCAAAAGCTGAGAAGGGTTTTTCCACTATAACTGCATTCAAATGATTGGAGAATGCCCACCTACACAAGGATCAGTCTAGCCCTAAACTATACCTAATCAGAAATCAGAATCTCTGAGTTTGTACATGATTCTGTAGACCTCTTTTGTCCCCAGAGTGCATTACAGATGGAACCTAACTATAATGACAAACTTTCAGGCTGAAGAGTCCATATAATGCCCTGTTTTTCGTCTATGCCGACTAAAATCTGACACAAACCTGAAAGAAAGGCCGCAGCCTTCGAACTTGCACTGATATGGGCGTTCTCCCGTGTGCACCCGAATATGCTCAGTCCTAGCCCATGCCCACTTGAAAGACATGGAACAACCTTTCCATGGGCACTTGAGGGGCCTATCATCCTCGTGGACTCGTTGATGAAGAATTGCATATTTGTGGGAGCGGAACTTCTTTTCACAGCCCTCATATGGGCACCGATTGCGTTTGTGCAACCTCAACTCTTCCTTTGTCTCAAAGCTCATATGGCAGCCTTCCAGGTCACATCTATGAGAGCCCCTTTTAATTATTTTCTTACTCTGGGTATGAATTGAAGGTCTCCTCGTCTCTTTTGTTGGCAGCTCCTCCTGGGATGTTTTGTCGACATTAACACCGCTAGTTGCATCTTTCCGAGCCCTTGGCCTCAATCCTTCACATGGACTTCTAATAAAGCCATTGCCACCAACTTTTTCAGGTATTTCCTCCTGTTCTCTCTTCCTCTTTCTTCCATTCATGGCACTTGATCTACAATTTGCCACAGCAGACTCAAGATTTCTATTCTCTACCTCCCCACCATCATTCACATTCACAGTAGCATGACCCTCTATTCGAGTTCTCGAGTACTTTTGGATTGAGATAGTAGACTGATTTATAGGTGTAACACAGCAAGAAACAGATTCTTCCTGATTTTTTTCATTTCTAATCAGGTAATTTTCATGGCTGTCATCATCTGCAGTTGCATCAGCACACAACTTCTTTTGAGAACTGCTCTCCCTTTGAACCTCGGAGCAAGCTTCCATCACAATGCGAGTAGGCTGCTTTTCTTTGATTGGCAAATTGGAACAACTTATAACCTCATCGCCAGTGGTTCCCTTTGTAGCTTGAATTTCTTGCAACACTTCAACATCTAAGGTCACATCAGGACGCTGGTCGTTGGCACAAGGATTCTTGGAAATTACAGAAAATTCTTCCACTGCGAGACTAGTAGGCTGATCAATTCCCACTGGCATAATAGAACTGGAGTGAAGTCCTTCCTTGCCAGCATTAATCTGGATTTCCTGCTTCTGTACTTTATTCTTGGAAACTGTACCATCACATGAATCTGCTGCAGCACAGGGCTCCTTTGGAACTTCAGATCTATTTCCCATTGAGGCGGTACCAGGCCCCTTTGTCAGGGTGGGAGAACTCAAAAAAGGCTCAACCTGACTTCCACCTCTAGTGACGGTTTCCGGCTGCATTTCATTTCCCAAAGATACACCAGCGGAGAAATACCCTGAACCCAAATTAGGTTTATTGATTAGTTTATTATCACATAAAATACCCTCATTATTTCTGGAGGTAGCTTCAGTTTCTTGCTGCACCTCAACATCAGACGTCATACAAGAAAAAACCCCTCCGTTCATGCAAAATTTCTCAACAGTTATGTCCGCCAATCCTGGATCAAATCTTCCAGCAGATGGTTGAGCAGAATGTGAACTTGCTGACTTAGCAAGATTTATCAAATCATACCTGGCAGCCAGTTCCTCACCCTGTCCTTCAGAAACTGAATTGCAAACATCACTAACTGCGGCAGTATTTTCCACAAATCTTTCATCAGCTGCGACAACACAACATTTAGAACACTTGTCAGCTGGAGAAATCTCATTATTCTTACTGCTTCTCTCCATCAGCTTGATCTCACATTGCTTTTGAGAACTAGCACATGCTGTCAAACTACAAGTTTCATCATCCAGCTCTGATTCCTCCAAAATTTTGCTCAGATCTTTTTGTACAACTCCAACAACTGAAGTAGTCTCGATCTCAAGCTGTGTCTGAATTGAACTAGTAAATAAAGATGAAAATAATCGAGCAGACTCACTTCTGGCATTTATCTTGGATTGATTTCCACCATGTTCATCAAAAAGTTGACTTGAAGCAGCAGAATCTTCTCTTGGCAGGTCATCCTTCAACAGTTTAAGGCCCCCACCTGCTCCAGTAGAATAATCTGGTTTTCTTTTTTTCCTTCTTGAATACTGAATAATTTTCCGCTCATTTTTAGTGATGTTGCCATCTCGCTTTTCAACCAATATTTCATCCACTTTCATTTCAACACTTTCACATGCTTTAGAGGGTGATAGGTGTTTCGACTTACCTTTTGAACGAGATTTTCTTGACTTCCATTTGATGTTAAATAACTCTGACCTAACATATTTATCAGAGAAAAGTCCACTCAATGGCAGTGCATGCTGAACTTGCTTAAATGGAGAGTTCTTTCTGACCTTGACACAGTATCGCAAGTTAACACCAAGTTTTGAGGTCCAGTCTTCTCCAATTTCATCATGTTCATCATCGATTGCAAAATTGATCAAGTTTAGATCCTCCTGGGATGCAGCACGTAGTGGAACATCATTGTAATTGAAAGGAATACCAATGTCCTCTGCAACAGGTATTGCATGTGCCTTTATTTTCTGATAATCTACAGAGATTACAGGAAAGAAGATGTAAAGAACAAAGAGGATTAAACAGAATGACGAAATGCTCTATTACTAAACAGAATGATGCATGGAAAACACATACTGAATGGTTGAATATCAGATAGCAGCAAGTACTGAAATGGATATTGATTAACTGTGACAAAACATGCGATAACTTTTACAATATTTAAAACAATTCAACAAAATATAGAATGTACTTGCTGATCTACTAATTTGATGTATAGAATAATGGGGCAGACAGATCTAAAGCCAATCTCACCTGAATGGCAAATTACCAAAATTTTTGCTCCACCTTTGGAGTGCAAAAGCTCCTCAACTTGAACAGCATGCTCCAGGCAGAAAATCCGAGGCCTCAGATATTTATTAGAAGTGTCCCATCCTTCGGAAAACTTGGTTATTGATGGTAATGGTGCATCCTTGGAGGGAGGAGATAAATCAGCAACATGATTGACATTGTCTGCAGAACAAAGCACTAGTCTTACTTATCACTTGACATGCCCAAAAAGGTGGTGAAGCAAATTATTGAAAAGCGTTCTGATAAATATCTATTATATGTTACTTATAAAAGCGTTATGATAAATCAGAACATGACTACAACAATAACTGGTATCATCATTCTCTAATATGTTCCAGGTTTATGGAAACAGATATTTAAGTTATACAAAAATAATCCTACTATGTATGTGACAATTAGAGTGAAGAAGAATATGAAGTCTAGAGGGAACTGATGAAAAATATGAGAAACAAAAAATTAGTAAAAAGGGCTCCAATACCTGAAACTGAGCCCTGAACACGGCAATCAAGATCAGGACAAAAAATGGAATTCTTAGGTTCCAAGACTGTTGGACCTTGAACCAAAAGATGATCTGCAGGTAGAAATTCCATTGTTGCTCCCTCAGATGGTTGTACCACACACATAAACGGATAACCCAGAATTCCGCAACCCACACAAGCCAATGTTCCCGAATCAACTTGAAAATCACATGTCAAATCATCATCATTCAAATATAAATAGTTCAGATTTTCCATGTACAGGCTCATCTCATCTAAGAGATTGTTTTGATTAGACTTATTTTCACAATGAATATCAGAAACATTTTCTTGCCGTATTGTAGAAACAGTGGCAGTTCCACTGGGCAACTCAGAATCTTTGCTCATATAAGGTAGTAAATCTGGGTCCCATATTATTGCACGATAAGTTGATCCTCTTTTAAGAAGAAGAGATAACAATTTATTTTCACTTAACAAATCTTCTATAAAAGCCTTCTTTACTAACACCTCTCTTTCTTCCTTCAGGCGATCTCTCAGACGAGAACTGCGAGCACCAGGTAGCAAGGATCTTGGCACCCTGGAATCAATGCAAATTAAGTGAAACAAACTTGAAAAACAACATGACAGCTCAATAGATATTATTATAACCAAAATTTAGAAAAATAATGCAAAACACTACAAAGATTTATGCCAAATTCTATGTTCACTAGAACCACCACTAATTATAAGGGAACTAAGTTTGATGAAATTCACAAAGAGACAGCATAATTGATGAGTAATTTAGGATTAAATGCAGTTCGTTAAACCGTTTGAACAAAAAAGTGCCCAAAAATTGGTTACAGTTTGTTCTAAAAACTAAAAAACGCAGTTAGTATAATGATAGTATAAATCTTCATGGTGCAGTTTCGGAACTAACAGGTATAGCATAACTTCAGTTAGTAGTTTGCTTAAATAAATACAATCTGACCTTGACACAAAAGACACGGTCAAAAGGTATAGCAGCTGCTGATGAGAAAGCATTGGAAGATAGTTCATAGCAGCTCTACGAACTGCAGCTTCTTTAGCTATTTGAAGCCACTGTGGAGTTCCAAAGTTTGCAGCTTCCCCACAATTAAAACCTGCTTAGCAAAAAAAAAAAAAAAAAGACCATGAGAATTAAAAAGAGAGGACAAGTCCACAGTAAATTCCTAGCTATAGTTTACGGAATGAGATGAACAAATAAAACAATAGACTCCCAGCATAATTTTCAGAGCAGAATAAAGACTTCAGTAACAGTTTGTGTCTGAGAAAATATTGGGATGCAGATTCATAATGACCAGCCAAATGCCCCTCCTCATTGTCGTAGTGTTTGTAATACAAATAAATACTGTTAACTTCTGGTTAGTCCTAATTCCAGTTCCAGGTTAACATCACATAAATTTTAAGGATCTTTGCAAATAAGACGTCCGCCTTCAGAACTCATTTTAAATACCTTTAAAAATACTTGTTAATGAGATCATCTTCAGCAAGGCCTTGCTCACTAATGATAACTAGATAGAATAATACCCCCCCACAACCCAGATCAAAGCACTTTGTCAATGAAGTCCTCCTTCATCCCCTCGTCCCCCCCCCCCCAAGGAAGAAAATTTAAGAGAAAAAGTAAAGAAAACTATTATTCTCATAATTACCGTAGTCATTAATTTACAAAACAGCAAGAAGAAGTGAAACTCATCAATCCCTTACTAAGCCCCAAAATTTTTTAAGTGTAAGTATGTTTCGTTAAGTCATGCCTATCATTTTCAGATCATTTATGCGTTTTAAACCTCACTATCCAGTTTTACAAGACCATGGTAGGCTAAAATGTGTGCCTATCCTGAAAGAAAATTAAAATTTCCTTTTTCTTGAATAAATTATGCCACTAAAGAACTCACACAGTCAATTAATTTTTGCACAATTTCTATTTGGTAGTTCTAATAGTCAATAAAACATAAATGTGCATGCATCAAATCCCCAGTCAGGAGGTTGACAACCAAAACGGTTCTCATAAAGGTTAAAATCAGCTATAAAGCAATTACCGTGGCTGAATCCTACATGGTAGGCTCTCGGAAAAGTCACAACAAATTCACCAGGATTCTGTAGTAACCTAAAGAAATAACAGAATAAACATGAGTAGAACTTCAAAACATTCAGAAGAAAACACCAAATGGCAGACCCTGTCGTACAAAGCAAACCTCAAAAGTTTTCCAAGAATGGAATGTTAACATTCTCACATCTGTGAATTTCAAAACCATTAGGGGATGTGGGAGACCAAGGATAAAATTTTCAAAAGAATATGATCAACTCACCTACAACAAGGAATGCCAGATGCGACAATCAACTCAGGTGATAGAAGCGTTGTCTTCTCACCCAGTAATGACAGAGCAGCTGTCAATAAAGGAAACTGAAACTAAATTACAAGAAAGATATAAAGGTTGCAACAATCCACTAAGTTCTGATAGGTGTCAAATATTTTACTTCAAGGAGTTAAGTCTAAACATACTAAGAAATTACCAAATACACAGTATTTAACATATGCTACAATTGGTAAGCAATAAAACTGAAGCAATTTCAGATTATAAAGTTCAATAAAACATCTACTATAACCCCTAAACCATGAAATAAAATCATGCAATCTGTTCCTAAACCCAACCCCAGATAATGCTCAATGACTTAATATGAAATGAGCAAAATTCACATACCTAAGTGGTCAATATTACCACCATACGCCTCAGTGCGGATAACTTCCTCAAAAGCAAATACATAATCTCCAGGAACAGCATACCAAGTTTTTGAAGAGCCGGTATGAAGAAAATTCATGCTGTGAAGTTCGTGATCTTCAACATGCCATGCAAACCAGCTAAACAACATGCCAATATAAACCATGGGAGAAGTAACACCAGGAATATCATCAGGCATAAATCGTGTAAGTGAGCCAGCTGATCGAGCAATCACTTGAAGGTTCCAAGGACTATTTGAAAGCTTCCAACCTGCAGTACCTTCCATATCATTACTAGCATTTCCACTCTTTCTTTTAGAATGAGAATTTTCATCTGATGCCATGGTTGACAATGTAGTAGATGACTTTGGTGTTTCTAAACATGTGTCAGAATCGCTTTTAATAGAAGTATCTTTAATCTCATCAATATGTGAATTCTTTACAGTATCCATCTCATCTTTCTTGCAATCAGAGTTTTCCCTCCTGTATGACATCCTCTTCCTCCTCCTCCTATGGAAATACCGAAATTGACCCTCTGGCTCCCCAAAACCTGATCCAGGAACATCATTAGCATATTCCACATATATAGGTTTCTCTGAAGCCGCCTTCCAAAACAACGCCTCGATATGCAAGGGCAATACCTCCTTATGCACACCCAATAAACTCTTTGCAAAAGTCTTCGACTTGGATTCAAACTGCTCTAATGTATAAATCTGCCCACTTTGCCACACTTGCTTCTGAACACCACATTGTTGACTACTAACCATCCCTTTAATTCTCCTCCCACTCTGTCCCAACTCCTGATGTCGAGTTGTAAACACTGCCCTTTCTTCCACCTCATCACCACCACTAACCCCACAACTTGAAACAGAACCAACATTCATTGACACGTCCATATCACTTCCTAACTCTGGACACTTGGATAACGACCTATTCATGTTGTTAACAACATACTTTTTTGACGGTTTTGGCACTGGTGGGATTATCTTACATATACCATAAGCACTAGCTTCTTTCTCAATCTTTGATATATATGCAATGGGGTCAGCAAACTCAGTATCTGTTGGCCTAAATTCAGGAGCCAATGGCAACCCTTTAAGCCATTTTGGTATTTCCACATTTCCCATTTAAAACAACGATTCAAAACAAGAAGACCAACATAAACCAATCAAAACATTAACCTTTATCATACATTGTTCATGGAAGTTTCAAAGTACAGCATAAAAAAAACAAAAACCCAATTCTCTCAAACACTAGATTCAATGTTTCTGACAAGTTTTCCAACATGGGTTTTTCTTGTTTCTTTGTTTTCTTCAATTGAAACTACATAAAATTGCAAAATTTAAGGTAAAAAATTGAAACTTTTTGAGTGAAAATTCTATCAAAGAAATTGAAAAAAAAAAAAAACCTGGAACCGCTTGAAGCCGCTTGAAACTTTTGACATTACTCTTCACAAGCGGCAAATAGTTGAGAAAGAGAACGCTAGGTTTTGATCAACTCACCTTGTGCAAGTTAGCAGGGGAGTGTGGAAATAGACTAACGTGCACAACAGGTTGATGCAAATTGTGTGACGTACGATGTTTGGTGCTTTGGTGAGGTCAGATTGGGTGTATTATATTAGACCACTTGCATGAAAAGATGTACAGAAAATTTGATGGGACGGGACATCTAGGGTTTATATCTCCTAAAAGGTATAAATGAATTTACGAGACCTCCAAATTAAATTATATTTATATGTGTATATATATATATATATCGTATAAACCATGTTTATATTTTAATTTCACAAAAATAACTGCATATGTTTTTCAGTTCTCACATTTAGCAACTACGGTTCCGTTTGATTTGTTCATTATTTTTTGGGTTATTTTCTTTTATTGGTTCATTATCTTGGGTCAAGGATACAATTACAATTAATTAAATATACAAAAACAAAATTGTTCAATAAGCATACTTTTCTATTTTTGATGAGCCAAGAAGAGCCGTTCTCATAGAATCGGGAATGGCTATTTCAGGTTCTTAAGGAATCAGATCTTTCCATGGAATGAAATGGTTATATTTTTACTATAAATTGAACCAAATGGCGGAATAACCATCTTCCCATCATTGTCGCATAATAATAATTCAGATATAATTTGATTCGATTTAATTTTTTTAATAATATATAATTATAAAAAATTATAAAATTTAATTTGAATTAAATTTTCACAAGATTTTAATTAAATTTTATCAATCTAATTTGATATGATTCATAGATTTTAAATTTTATTATATATATATTATTTTAATATATTTAAATAATTTTATATGTAAAATAATTATTTATATTTTATAAAAATTTAAAACATATATAAAAATTAATAAAAATATATTATTCAATTTGATTCAATTTTTTTTTTTTTAATTTAAAATTCAATTCGAATTTAATATATATTTAATATTTAAATTCAATATGAATTAAATAAAAAATTAATTTAAAATTAAATCAAACACTCTAATTTTAAATTAATTTTTTATTTGAAATTACCGAATGTTTGGACAATTTGCGTTGTAAATGTGATTGAAAATGTACAAATCACATTGCATGATTGATTGGGGAGAACTTCTTTGATCTGAGATCCAAGAGTCTCAGCAACAACAATGATATTGCCAAACTTCGAGTGAAACCCCGGTAGAAAATCCTTTCAAGCAGAGTAGGGGTGGATTCATATGGTATAATGGGATGTTTATGGACATTTCATATTTCAAAAATAAGAATTAAAAAAAATTATATTGAACACTTTCAAAATTATTTTATGAACATTTTTTCTTTTTTTTTTTGTCAAAAAAAATTAAAAAATTTATCAATAATTTATATATGTTATATTATAAATGAACATTTAAAAAAATTCTGAATTCACTATTGAATCAAAAGTAAAAATAACAATATAACAACGTAAAAGTAAGCCGTCAATCGATTTCAATTAATTCTATCAATTAACTCAATTACAAATTAATTTATTAAAAAATCAAACCAACCGATTAAAAGAGTAAAAACCAAAATAAACCTAACCGAAATAAATCAATTGATTTTTTTAAGTTCTTCAATTTTCGATTTTGAATAAGCAAAAAAATAATTTGCAAAAATAATCGATCCATTTTCAAAAAAAATCAATCTATTTGCATAATTTTCGATTTTTCTATCGATTCGGCTTATGATTTTCAAAATCACAAATTGACTAATGAAATTATAAATCAACCACTCAACCTAAAATTCCGCTAAACTAAAAAAACCCAACCTAATTTAATTGAATTCCAATTTTTTTGTCCATTTATTGGGTTAAATCAGACTAATACTCACCCCTATAATAACTAGAACTGAAAAAATATAACTAAGAATGAGTTAAAACTTAAAAAGAAAAGATGTTTGTATACCAATTAATACAACAAGAAGTGGATCATATAAGATAAGAAAGTACTTCAACAGGAAAAGAAAAATAGCTATAGATGGAAGCATCCTTTTTTATTGGCTGCAAGCTTGAATTAACAAGTGATGCCTTCATCAACATGAACTAAGTTCAGAAATCAGACCAACAAATTATAGCCTGACTCATACATGAAGATGCTCCAATAGAATCCTATCAGAACCCTATTTAGTTCATTTTGAAAATTTTGAAGAATGCTGAACCATCTGTTCTAAAATAACATCACATATAATCTCAACCAAGTTCAGGGATCATATGACTATGAAAGAGAATAAAAAACCGAAATGAATAATCTCCTGCACCGGATGCAACGGGACAAGAGCAGATTTGCCATAAGATCAACTCTCACAACTAACAGAAAATAAGTGGCTGAGCCAAGAGGTGCTAGGCTTTTAACTGAAGCTAGGCTTTTCAGGATATGTGCAGCCTGACCTTTGGATGATAACATTTGATGCATAGCAACCAGCTCTTACACATTCTTCAATCGGCTTCTCTTGGGCTAGCTGCGACAAAAATCCACCAACGAATGCATCCCCTGCCACAAAGGAAAAGAAGCGTCGATATAAATTACTAGCATAATGCCGATAAGCTCTTTTTGAATCAAATTTCGTCCTAGCCATGATCAGGATAAAAGCTATTGAAGTTGTGTTTGTTCCTTGATTTCATTATTCTAATGCTCATTGAGTTCTGGGAAATACTGATGATAACTAATAACCTGCTCCATTGGTATCGACCAACTTCTCTTTTGGTAACAAGATAACAGGGAATAATCTCACTTTTCCATCCTCGGCAACCACAACAGGATCTGCTCCCTGGGTGATAACGGTAATTCTCTTGTGTGTTCCGAAAGCCTTGGGCCATTGAGAAATCTTTAGAGCAATCTCCTCAACATTATCAGTCTGTTCATCAAAGACAAATATAAGAAAAGGTAATTTGTGAGAAAAAAATAGAGTGGAGCACCCTTACTAAACAAGGTAAACATTAATAAATAATTACCTCCCAACCATGAACCTTTGAGAATGTTCTGGCTTCGGTCTCATTACCAAAGACATAGTCCATGTACCTGAAACCAAAAAGCTCCATCACCTCCAGTTCTGGTGATTGGCATTATCAAGAAAGAAGGATCATAAAACCTACGGTAGTACTTTCTCCTGCACATCCCTAAAGAACTCACAGATGAATGGAGCAGAAAGGTTCATCATGAAAACCTGCAAATGTATAATGAAGGTGGTTGAAACTAATGAAATATTATACCAATTGCGAGTAAAAAATATGTGGTCATTAAAGCTAATGGAAGTACTTGCAAGTTAAGTCCACAAGTTTTACCTTGTTCTTTGCAGCAGCATGTTCAGCAACAAGTTGAATGGATTCAGGGGATACAGTAAGGAAAAACCCAGCAATATAGAAATATTTTGCCTTCTCAACTGATCAAATAGGGAATTCTGTGAGCTGGGAAAGATCTCATAGCCAACAAAAAGAAATAGAGTTGGAAGCTGAAGCAACAAGAAAGTGTTTGAAAGAATATCGGTACCTAGCGCCCAATTTTCTGGTCTCTTCAAATGCTCTGATTTGTAACAATTTGCAGCTGATAAGTTGGCAACAAGCGATCTGCAATAACAGTTATAGCAAGAATTTTTATAAGCTTTCAGAACTAAATGATTATGTATATACATGCATGCATGCCTACAAAGATGGTCTATATATAGATATATATATAAAAAGATCTGCAAACCAATAAAACCTTACCCTTTGGACATGGCCTTTTGTCCCCAATAATAAAAGCAAATGTTGAGATTCATGTCCAGGCATAGCAATAAAAACTAATAAAATCTAGCAAGCTCCTTGGAAATTGAAGAAAAAAAAAATCAAAAATCCCATTACCATGATTGGCATAGCATTATGCATGAAAGGAAGCACAATAAACTTCATAGTATTTTGGCTGAGACTTGCATGGTGTGTTCAAAACAGGTTTATTTGGTTAATTTCCCCACATTCCTCACATCTATAACACAGATCTGCTTGATGGACACACTTTTCAGTTTCCTTTTACCTAAAACAATCTGAGAAGCAAGAAAATATGACCACTAGATATGCAAGTTTCTTAGATTCAGCTACCCGAAGACAAGAAAGGAGCTCATTTCATTAGGAGTAATAGGAAAGTAAAGTAAATTGATGGGATGGTTTGTGTCTATACAACCACGCATGCACAGAGAAAACAGCTTACTGATCAAAAATTCTATAGAAAACAGTTGGCACTATGCAATTGGATTATTCCAGGCACAAAGCAGGATTTCAGAGCGCACGATAGGAGCAACTAACCTCTCACCACCGACAACACAGACAGCACAGGTCCCTGTTGGTGCAGTCTCATCCTCATAATAGTGCACCTGATCAGACATAATTAAATCTCAAAGCAAACACAATAAGCTTAAAAGTGAGAAGCAATGATGCATAGGAACTTACATTAACACCAGCAAGCTTTGAGTTTTTTGTCATTTCCTCTCCAAACTTGTCCTTACCAATGCAACCCATGTAACTAGTTGCACCAGGGATTTGAAGCATCCACTGAAAGGGACACAATATTAAGAGAGATTAAAGAAAATGAATTCCCAAGTAATGTTAATCCAACTAAAATGAAAATCCCATGACACAGCAAACCTGGGCAACTCTGATAGAATTTTGAGTCGCACCTATAGTAACACAAGAGTATAAATCAACATTAAATTTAAAGATAGGGAATATAACCAAACTACCAACATAATATCAATTATGATTTAAGATGATATTGAAACACCAAATCAAACAACTTCCCAACTTACCCCCAGCAATATACTCCACATCAAACTTGTTAGCCATATCCTCATACCTTCAAAAACTCATCCACATAAAATCAGTTTATCATAACTCAGAATTTTCACATATTAGAGAAAATTAAACACCATCGCCATCTAGCTATAGAAATTTACATCTCAAGCAAAGTTCATTCCATAAATCATCAAAATATGAGCATTCTAGATATACACACCCAGAACCACATTGGCATAAGCTTTTATTTTTAAAATGAATGCTAAATACAGACCAGGATAACTCGGAAAGAAACTTACATTGGCAAGTGCTTGTCCTCAGCAAGTATGGCATTGTTCAACTTGATATCATACCTGTTCCACCAACCAACTCAAGGGTCAATCACAATTTTCATGAAAAACAAACACTATTTATGTACAAGAAATGCTAAAAAATGAAATTAACAATTGCAACCATCTCTTTTTTTAATACATAACGTTAGAATCTCAATCCAAGATTCATCATTTTCCTATTTTTTTCACCGCAACCAAAAGAAAACAGTCCAAAAACTATCACCGCATCCAAAGTAAAACAGTCCAAAAACTAACAAAACAAAAACAAAGACAATCAAACATGAAAACTTGGCCACTACAGATCTGTCATTGGCAACAAACTATCCGATAAAAACATCACAGATCTAAGAAAACTATGAAAGACCCACCAAGACAAAATAGCTCCAAAAGCCAAAAATGATTAAAAAATGCTAACTTTCGATTGTTTCTTCCACCAATGCCTCCATAGTAAAACAGAAAGATGAAAGCTCACTAAGACAAAATATCTCCAAAAGACAAAAATTATTAAAAAATGTTAACTTTCTATTGCCTCTTTCACCATTTCCTCTGCAGCAAAACAGAAAGATGAAAGCTTTTGGATTTTTTAAGTAAAATGGGATTACTTACTTCTTTAAGAAGTCTTCATCGACAACAGCAGAGATGTCAAGAAGTGGGTTTCCCATGCCCAAGAGAATACCTTCATAAGCCATTGAAAAAAGTGTTTTAGAGAGACACAAAAAAAGACAGCCTTTAGCTTTAAGGTGTATTTGCAGTTTGAAGGAAGTGAGATCGCAGTTCACAAGAAAACACAACGGCTTGAATATATATATATATACATACAATGGGGTTGGTGGGCTTTTTCATTTCTTTAATCTTAAAATAAATTGGGATTTTTAGAGATATGTTTGTATGATATATATATATATACAATGGGGTTGGTGGGCTTTTTCATTTCTTTAATCTTAAAATAAATTTGGATTTTTAGAGATATGTTTTTATGATATTTTGTGTACAAAAAAGAATCTAAAGAGTATTATGCAATAGAAAGCAGTCACAATATTAATTTTTTATTATTTTTCTGTTCCAAAAATATTATATTAGTTTGACTTTTTTATTAAATTATTTTAATATTTAATTAAATTAAATTTTAACTAATATAATAATCGAAACTGATTTATTCAAAAATTTGAAAGACTATTTTTTTTTTCAAATTTTAATTAATAGTGACAGTATAAACATCATTTTTTTATGGGACGAAAATTTGTTATAAATATATTGTATAATTTATATATTTGTCGGCTGGAGAAAAAAAAAAGGGTGAAATGTGAATTCGGCCACCACCAACCAATTCCAACCCCATCTTTTTTTTTTATTATTTGTTGAGATCCCACGTGTCCAATAGTTATTTGAGATTTTGATTAATTCAAAATTAGATTAAATCAAATTTTATAAAAAAAAAATTTCAGTATTTATTTTTTATTTTTAAATTTAAAATTAAGATTTTATTTAAAAAATTTTAATTTTTTAATCACTGAGATTAACAGATGTGATCCAAACCCGTCTTTATCAATATTTTAGGTGGGTATAAACTTTCAAATGTCAGTTTCAAAATAAAAAATTAGTTTCAGAGTTTGGCAAAGAGTATAAAAAAGGAAAAGTTTGGCTACATTATTTTTTTTAGTTGGAGATTGAAAGAGAAAGGGTAGTTGATTATCTTAAACATAAAATTGTAATAGAAATTTATTTTATATAATGGTTTTGATAGGATAACGATAGTTATATCCAATTTTATTTCTATAATAATTAATTTATCATTGTTATTATTTTTAATTTTATTAAAATTGATCGCTCAATTATTCAAATAAACCTTAAATTAACTTAACAAATAATTAACCAATTATTATTTGATTTTACTGCATGAATGCTTTTCGGCTCAACCACAATAACTATGAAATTTACCATTTTCTTAACGGTAAGGTGAAATTAAAATAAATTCTATGTAATTATTTTTAAAAATAATATTTAATAAATTTAAAATTTAAATCTTAATATTTATATATATTTTTTTATTTTTAAGTTACGAACTTTTAAAATTTATATATTGAGCCTCGAATCTCACGAAGCCAAGCCCAATTTCTAAAGATTGGTTAAAGGTTGGGCTAACAACTTAACCAGTCAAGTGGGGAATGGTAAATAAGAATTCCTACAAGCCCAATGCTAGCTTTGCTCCGAGCTACCAATTTATAAAGAGTGGTGCTATTTTCTTTCAAAAAATAATTTTTTAATACATCTTAAAAAATTAACTTTCAAAAAAATTACTTACATATCCATTAGTTAATTATTTTTTTTTCCTTCATACCCCTTCTCAATAAGTTATCAAAAATTTTTTATTGTGCATACATTTTCAAAAAATATTATAATTATCTAAAATTATATTTTTGAAAATAAATGATATTATCCGAAAATGTATTTTCGAAAAGCATTACAAGTATTCAAAAATCCATTTATGGAAGTAATTTTTTAAATTACCTTTTTTTTGTTGCATCTCTTGATCAGTATATGACACGAGAATATCATATGTTCCTTACGTGATCTCCAAACAAGTCTATAATGATTTCTCTGAGATATGGGCTATTTAAATCCAACAGTAAAAAATCTCTAATCTTTTAGCCGTATTATTCATTCAATAATGTTTGTAACATTTTTCAAGTTTTAATAAATGTACATCTAAAATGAATCGATAATTGTGAAGAGGCACTTATCCAAGTGACTACTGCACCATATGCGATGAGGTAGTTACACTCTATCACATATGGTATAGCAACCAATTTGTGCAAGCGCCTCTTCACACTTAATTATTGCTCTTAAATGCATGTTTGTCAAAATTACAAAAATATTATAAACATTATTGAACAAATAATACTTGATCACCAAAAGATTAAAGGTCTATATTGTAAGATTTGTCAATCTATTGATAATATTGTTAAGGTCAATATTCTTTATGGTGCCAATTATTGTGTATCGAAAATCCATTTCTAAAAGTTTTTTAAGGATTCTATAAATTAATATTCGAAAATCATTGAAAAATTTCATAAATACACTTTTGAAATTTCTTAAATGTTTCTGAAAATAGATATCCGAAAGCTTTTAAGGGATTTTGAAAATGAATTTTCGAATATTGAAGAAGTTTCTAGATATCCATTTTCAGAAATCTTCGACAATTTTCGAAATTCCATTTTTAGGATGCTCAAATTACACTCCAAAACTTAAAATCCTAATTTTTTTTTAAACTAAACACAAAATCAAATGAAATTTTTTTTTTAAAAAAGTAATTAATCTCTTATTATAAGCTATCTAACATCAAATATGTAATTGAGATTTGATCTGGGACTTAATCCTTAAAGGGTTTAGGGTTTTCAGTTGAAAAAGAGGGGGTATGAGTAGATGGGTGTTTTAGTTTTTTAGTAAATTTGTGTTTTGATTTGGGGTGTAAAGAAAAAAACTAATAGGTGTTAACAATAGTGGAGTGTGAAACAAAAAACTTGATATGCAAATAGCACCACTCATTTCTAAACTTAATAATTCTTTTTCTTATTATAATCATTTATTGATTCTATTATATTTTTCTCTTCGATGTACATTATAAGATACATAAATTGAAATTTGGGAGAGAAAATAATTTCTATCTTTGAAATTTTTTTTATAATAAAATTTTCACATAACTATAAAAAAAACTTAAAATAAAATTTAATAATTATTTAAATTCTTATTATTTTATTGCAATCAATTAAATTTTCAAACATATATTTTCATCAATTAAGCTTTATTACATAAAAATTAATTGACCATCAATACTCATTTTCGTCCAATTGAAAGCTCAATTGGGTGAAAATAAAATATTTAAAAATTTAATTTAATGAAATAGATGTTTAAAAGTTTAATTGGATGAAAATAAATATTCGAGATCTCAATCATAACTGTTAATTTCATTGAACTATTAGTCGTATCAGTTGATACGCTTCAGTTATATCAAAATATGATATACTTAACGATTATTTTTCGTATCGAATTTAGTATCAGATAATATTAGTTATTTTCGTTGGTTTCAATTAGTTTCAATGAATTATAGTAAAATAACATGTTTCAATCGGTACGTGAATATAAAATATATTTTATAAATTTTAACTTATTTTTTGTTTTTTAACATAATAAAAATAAAATTAATTGACAAAATAACATTTGAAAGTTGAGTTTCTTTATTTATCATTTAAACTTTTTTTTATACTTTATTTTTTCAAACCAAAATTTATAATTCTATATTTTATTTTTTCAAATCAAAATTTATAAATACTTCAATTTCTTTTAAGAAAGCAATTATGTTTCCTTTATAAAGTTTAACAATCATAAAGTCTTAGTTAAATTTTTCATCTCTTTGTTTTTTTCTTAATATTTACATAAAATAATATTTATTTAAATATCATATGATTAAATTAAATGTTTAAAAATATCATGAAAATTTTATTATATTATTTCTTATGCTTTTAAATTTATTTATTTGATTTTGAAGATATTACATATTTATTTTGTAAATTATTAATAGTATTATAATATGCAATTTCATGCATGTTTATAAATATATTTGTATTAAACCGAAAAATATGAAATAATATGTCAAAAACACAAACAATGATTTTTTTTTTTTCAAATTTTGGAGGTTAGCAGATTTCATTTCCAAAGGCAGGACTGGCAGCAATATAAAAAAATATATATATCACAGGGAGGTTGGCAGCATTCAATAAAATCAATACAACAATGAACATTTCCATAATAAATAAATGTAGAATAATTAAAAAAAATGATGTGCGTGCACGTATTAAAATAAAAATAAACATTTTCATTAAGAATCAATTTCATTTTCAATGATAAAGCTTAGGAGCTATTTTCAATGATTCAGCTTGCAATTATTTCTTATTCTTTTCAATTATAAACAAATTAGAGAAAGAGAGGGTAATTTCGTAAATGTGTAAAAACACTTCTTATCTTACATTACATTTGGTTTAATGAAGTTCTTGATACAAAATAAACATTTAATAAAAGTAATAAAAAAAAAAAACACAATAACTTAAAACAGCATAGCTTGTGTTTTTGACAAATTTTCATAGGAAAACTAAACAAGTTATGTCTCTTATCAGCACAAATAAAAGAACTTGTAATGTTATTGTTGTTTGAAACTTGGAAAACACCTTAGCATATAGGCAAAGGAGCACCATTCCATTCCTTCAAGCAATCCAGCAAAGGATCAATCAACTTCCCTGCACACATTGCTGAGAAAACTTTGTCACATTCTTCTCCTGGAGAAATTACCTTCTCACCTGTTAGCAAATTAGTCCCAACAACTTCTCTGACAAACTTGTACAATGGATAGGATCTACATTCTTTGATCTTGTTGGGAATTGCTGGATTTCCATTTTCGAATTCGATTCTAGCACTTTCAACTTCTTTAGGCAAAAGGGTTTTTAGTTCTTCTTCAAAGGCTCCAATCTTTTGGAAAATTGAAGTGGTTGAATTCTTTTCTCTGTCGCCATTCATCAAGGCATGGTCTACTAGTACTTGTCTCAGCTTCTGCATTAATGGGTAAGTTGCACTACAAGGATCATCAATGTAGGCATAGAGATATTCGCGATCGACAACTCTGAGGAGATCCTTCTCACAGAATCTTGATGGATGAAGTTCACCATTGGATCCCATTGTTAGGACTCTCTTAGCCACTTGACTAACTGTGTTCTTCACAGTGTTCTTCAAATTCTCTTCCAAATGCCTTAAGTCAATGGCTTGGCA